TTGTTTAGTGGAGAAAACAGAGAAAGCATAAAATACGTGAAGCAGATTCAAAGAGATTACCAGGAAACTAAAAGCTATCGAAAACTGGCATAACAGCTTGAAAGAAACTAAGGATAGATTATCTGAACTGGAGGGCAGACTTGTACTATGGGAGCATGAAATGAAAAACTTCCTAAAAATAACAAAGAAACAAACAGCAATAATACAAAGACTAGAAGATGATAAGAGGATCTATAACTTAAGAATTAAGAACATAAAAGAAGATGTAGGGACACAAACAAATGAACTACAAAAGCTACTCACAGAAATAATCCAGGAGAATTTTCCTAATTTAGCAAAAGGTAAAGATACTCAGTTGTATGAAGCATACAGGACCCCAGCCACCTACAACCCAAACAGAGCAACACACAGGCACATAATAAAATTCCAGAAATCCAATACAAGAACAGAATATTAAAAGCCATCAGAGACAAGAAACAGATCACTTACAAGCGAACACCCATCAGAATTACAGCAGACTTCTCGGCACAAACCATCAAATCACGAAGAGTTGTGGGGGGAAATAATTCAAGCTTTGAAAGATAATAATGTCCAGCCAAGATTGATATATTCTGCACAACTATCCCTGGAAATTGATGGAAAAACAAAGTGCTTCCAGGATAAAGAGGAACTAGCAGAATTTGCAACCACCAATTCAACTCTACAGAGAATACTGCAGGATATTCTAAAAAAGAAAAATGTGAAGAATCCAGAAATAGTGGCAGAGAGACCACAATGAATGGAGCAGAAAACAAAATGAAGAAGACAAACTGACAACTAATGACAGAAAAAGAGCTCAACAGAAATGAGGCAGAGAAGATTGGATGATAGCAACAGCTATTTTGGAGAAAATGATGTCTTAAGAGGTAATATTGATTTAGTATCATCTTGTTTTGAAGTCTCATCAAGCTTTTGTTCTTCTGTCTCCATTGGTCTAAACAGGTTGTATCTTATTGGATTTTATTACATATGATAGTATAAGCAAAGCCTTTTATAGACAAGGAGATTATACAGAAACCATTGCTCATTTTCTGTTAGTTTTTTCTAAATACCCTGTAATACTGACATTCTCTTAAATGGTTTTACATTGTTTTGATATATTTGATGCTACAGTATACGAAGTTATACTCAAAGATTTCAAGGAAAGAGACAATATTGTAACTACTTTTATGTCGGGATTATCTTGTGGTGAAACACTATTTTGCTTAAATGGTTATGTTTTGATCTGCGCTATTTTGCTGTTATGCCCTCTTTTATATCAATCTCCATTTTATTATTTACTCTTTTATTTTTATCCTTTCAATTAAGGGAAACATAAATAAAAAATAGCAGGATATATTATAGTAACTCACTTTGACTTTCCATTATCTTGATTTAAAGCCCTGTATTGCTCTCACCATCTTGTTTTGACTGATGTAACTCTATTCTGTTTTGCTTGATAGTATAGGTTCAAAAGTTTAGGCAACAGCTGTGAAGATAGTGGGATTCGTTATGATGCCCATTCTGGTTGACTATTATCTACTTTTGAAGACCTATAATGTCTCCAATGTCTTGGTTTTGTTGGTTTTGTTCTTTACTGTTTTGTTTAATTTTATTATAACTGATGATATAGCCAATTCTATTAGAGATAGCGGGAGGCATCATGATAACCATTGTTGATCACTTTGTATTATGCTTTTACATTATCTATTATGTCCACCCTTTTGATTTGACTGACTCTGATCTGTTATGTCACATTTGGTTCTACTCTCTTCCAAAAAAGTAATAAGAACTGTGGGAGCAACAAAACCCAAAATGTGTAATTGTCATTGTACAAAAGAGAGGAAAAGAAAGTGCTCTAAATGATATAACTGCATGTATATTTAAGTGTATAAGATAGATAATGATATTACTGAGTTTTGTTGGATCATTGAACAGAACTGTTTGCAGTTTCACTGTTGGAATATCCACTTTATAAGCTTTAATTTTGTAACTTAAACAATTATTTCTAAGATGACAATATGTAATCCATTAACTAGTGATTTCCTACTGTTTATTTTTTTTCTGTAAACCTGTAAAACTTATACCCTTTCTCTGCTTTTTTCTCTTTTTCTCTTTAAATAAAATTTAAAAAAAAAAAAGAAAAAAAATAGCGAAACCATATCTCAAAATAAAATATAAAAATGGTTTGGGTACACATCTCAGTGCAAAGGCCCCTAAGTCAATACCTCATACTGGAAAAAAATCCAAATACTCTAGTTAAGGGACAAATGAGTTTTCCCCTGTATATTCTCCATTTTCACTGAATGTAGAGATTCTAAATTCTAATGCCTAGAACAGTTCTTGGAAAACACTTAATGAAAATTAAGATACTTGGCCTTTAGTCAAAATAGAAACCACACTTGAGCATTCGTCTGCCACAGCTGAGTTATAAAAACAAATCTCAAGGAAACTTTTGGCAGTTTGAAGAAGGACTGGCTAAGTGTCTCTCAGAAAGGAACTAGAAAAAAGTAGTTTGTACCTGTATTTCAAACACCGGTAGCACAGTACAAGGTCATTGAACAAAACATTCTTGCTCAGGGAAGCGATTAACTGATAGCTAAGATTATATTTATTATGAAATTTCTAAAATTTCCCCATCAATCATATGTTCACATATGTGCAAAGAAAAATATAACATTAATATGAAAATTAGCAATATTATAGGGAGAGCTAGACATGAAATGCGCAGTTATTCAAGCTTCTCAATGCAATCATATAAGATATACTCTTTTGCACAGAGCTGGCCAACACTGGACTGTTTCTCTCAGTACCAAAAAAAAAAAAATGAGAATCAGAGTTTACCTTACAAGTTGACTAATGGTCATGCCTAGTGGATTCACCCAATGACTTTCTTTCAACCACTGCGCTTTAGGATCACTTTTTATGAGGTCACTCTTTTTGTAAACACAGGTTTATAATAGTAAAAGCTATAAAATGTTTAATATCAAAATAGGATTTATTTTTGAAATTGTAATCAATCCAGGTTAATTGGTGACACTCTATGGGGCATACCTGGAGTTGAATTGGTACACACAAATTTACAAAAGCTTCAAAACTAGTGGGATATCACAAAGCAGAGAATGAGGTGTAAACAAGACCAAAATTCCCTTTATGTCTAAACTCTAGTAAATTTTTCAACTGGAAAACAACCAATACAAGGATTGGCTTAATATGTAGCTACTGTTGGAATAATGGGAAAAATGAAGATACATGGGTGCAAATTAAAAATGAAGAACAAAATGTAAAGTGTTGCTGAAATTGAATGCTGTTTCTGTCTGTTCATTTGGTATATATGTATGTGTATGTGAAATCATCATCCTAAATGTAGAATTGTCACATATTTGCTTTATAATATTCCCATTACAATGCAATCTACATAGCATATAATACATCTCATTTTAATAAACACTCCAAAAATCTAGCTACAGTCCACTGATACTGATTGCCTAGAGAAAATATTAAAACAGATATTCTTCTAGCCAGATATAAAGTGAAAATCAGGTATTATTTCCTTTTCTGAAGTTATTTTAGACAGCATCTAACTAAAATCTTCTCTAATATAAACTTAAAAACAATTCTTTGAGGCATACAACTAGTAAATAATACATATAATTCTCCATCCTGTAACATACTGCTAATCCTCTGAGAATTAAATTGCCTCTGTTTCAGTTATATAAATGTTTAATGCTTTTTATCCTTAGTCATAATTAGTTTCCCAGAAAGTATATTATCTCTGTAGATGTCACCACTCACCAATTAGAAAAGACAGCAGTAGACAATTGATAGTGGCCTCGGTATACTATAGACTTTGACACTTTGTTCGGTTGCGGAGGGAAATGATTAGACAATTTAACAGAATCTACAATGACTAATTTTTTCAATGGAAAACATTTTGCCTTGTGTATCATGCACTTTTGATTCATTTACAAAAAACAGACAAAACCACCTAATGATGTTTACACAGAGTGAAGTGAAAAATTGAAGACCAGGACATAATCATCATATTTGTTTTCTCATCATTAAAACTTTTAGCAGTAGGACTTCCAGCTGAGCTGGAGTCTAGCTTCTCTCAAGATACAAATATTCTGAAGCTTCACTGAGCCTACAGACCAAGTTGAACTCTTATTTCTTAATTGAAAAGAACAGGTTGTTGGTGTAGTATGTTTGCATCAGTGAAATATTGAAAGTGACATTTATTCCCAACTCCATCTCGACATTCTGTCTTAGCTGAATCCTATGTATGCTTTTATACTCTGGTTTATGCCTATCACACTTCTAAATAGTGCCTCTTGCTGAAACATTAAGGCTAACTACACAAAAATAGATTCTCCTTCATACTTGAGGATGCCACTTCTGATAGGCAATTTGAGATGTTGTTCATATTAACTGCATATTCAAGCTCCCACATGACCAATAGCATGGATTTGCATGGTAACTAGAGGGGATTGGCACAGACTTGCAGACATAGTGGGACGTCTGGTCCTTTGTATATTCAGTAAAGAATACACAAACTGTGGTCAGAGAACAAAGTCTCTCTAGGTAAAGCTAACCAGCCTGATGGAAAAATAAAAATCTATCCCTGTAGTCTGTTTGGAATTGCGGTCCATGTAACTCAGCTGATTTACTGTGTGTTCAGCATAGTTATTATTAAAAGGAATATATATATATGTGTATATATATATATATATATATATATATATATAATATGTATAAGCAATCACTTTGCAAAATGGCCATACCCTCTACAACCCTAAAGGATACACCTGAGGAGAGAGAAAAATCTGGCTGAGTGTTCTGACATCTGAAAAATCTCTTGCTGAAGTCTAAACAAAGTGGACACCTTCATAATACACCATGACAGTAAAATAGTGCAGTGTGCCTGCCAACTTTCTGCATTATTTGGAGTCTACTGTTGCAACTTGCAACAAGCCATCCCTTACCATGATCAGGCATCTGAGATCCCATGGAGGTTACACTGGTATTTAGCACATCGTTGACAGCAGTATCACAATACAGGCTCCTCTGAACGTCATGTTCACTGTCAGTCTGGTCACTCTCCTCATGTCCGCTATCTTTCAGGCTGTTTCCTTCTAGATCTTTGAAGGTAGAGCTGCTGAATTGAAAAAAAAAGTGTTAAAGCATAACCACAATAGATCCGATTTTTAAAACTTTGTTGGTGGGAACGTAAACCAGTACAACCATTACAGAATTCAGTGTGGAAATTTATCAGAGAACAAATAGTGGAAATTTCATTTTACCCAGCTATTCCACTTGTAGGTATTTTCCTCAAAAAATTAAAGACATCATATTATAGCAGTACACGCATGCCACCATTTACAGCAGCACAACTTATAACAGCTAAATCCTGGAAGCAGCATGTATATCTATCAAAAGATAAATGAATAAAGAGCATGTGGTATCTATGCATAATGAAATATTATTTGGCTATAAAGAAGGGTAAATGTGAGACATTTTGTAGGAAAATGGATATGCCTGGAAATAGCTGGCAAACAAGTAGTCTATCTAAGCCCAAACCCGGGTAGTCTAGATTTCCAGAAGCTAGATCCTTAACCACTATGCATATTACCTTTCTAAAGATATCTACTAATCAACACCAGAAAGCAAAACAGGCAGAAACTGAGGTAATACAACTAAAATAGAGAGGATATTCAGGGTTGGAAAACCCAGGTCAGTTTAACTGAAAAAAGCAGAGTAATGAATTCAAAAGAAAAAAAGACAGGTATGAGCTGAAAAAAGGGAGGTCTGATGTATGGAAGATGTGATAGCTAATTTTAACTGTCAACGGACTGGGTCACAGGATGCCCAGCTAGGCAGTGGAACATTATTTTGGGGGTGTATCTGTGAATATGTTCCCAAAACACATTAGTATTTGAACTGCAGGCTTGAATAAGACACCTGACTCTCCTCAGTGTAGGTAAATGTCATTTAATCTATTGAAAAATTAATTACAATAAAAATAAAGCAGAAAGTTAAATTTTGTCTCCACCAAATGCTGAGTTGAACCATCACTATTCTCCTGCATTCAGTGCCCCTGATATTTAGTCCTGTAGATCTAGAAAAGAATCTATACCACGGTTCTCTGGTTCCCATAACCAACTTTTCTCATCAACTGGCTTGCAGATGGCAGAGCACAGAACTTCTCAGCTTCTATAATTGCATGAACTACTATCTTATAATTAATCTATTACTATATAGAGAGAAATACCATGGTGGTACAAATACCTATGGTGCCTCTGACTAAGGCAGAATGTAAGGTGGAAGTGAGAGCCAGAGATACAAGCTTAAATATCAGATGATTTCTCTTATATGAGAAACTCAGAGTTAAAATAAAAAGCAAGATAAAAGACAATAGGAAGAAGGGAAATAGTTCGCTTCATGGGGAAAAGAATGAAGAAAAGGAGAATAGGAGAAGGAGGGAAAGGATAAAGGATTTTTAAAAAGAATTAAGATGTATTATGTACATGTACATGTACCAACACAAAAATTGCAAACATCATGTAGTGAAAACATGTACAAAAAGAGGGGTGGATCAAGAGATGGAAGGAGGGAAATGGAGGAAAGGGAAAAGGGATTTTAAAAGGAATTAAAATGTGTTATGTACATGTGCCAACTTCCAATAAGGAATGTAAACATTATGTACTACACACATGGATGAACAAATTAAGCTTTTTTAAAAAATTAGGAAGTGAGAGCCAGAGAATGAGCACTAAAATAAATGTTGCTATAATTATACTAAGAACATTGAAACATTCAGCTTAAGAGATTTATGAGTAAAATTTCCATATATTTATTAAACCAATCCACCACATAATGCACAAGAATATTACACAAGAACTCCACACCATTTCTCACAGAACAGAGAACAATACATAAGGTACACCTAATCAGTTACTACAAAAGTCTATATGTCTTGCCTGAATCTACAAATGTGCTACACCATGGATCACAAGTTATGCATCTGAAATATCTAATAGATGATGAAACCATTCCCTCATCGGTGAAATGGCAGCAAACCACACTCAAGAAAATGTGTTTTCTCAACAAGGGAGACTAGCACATTTTTGAATCAGAATAAGTCCAACAGACCTAAGTGCCTCTGCAAGGGAGCCTTCCAGAGATGATACTGGGAAGCTAAATGATCTGTTTAACCTTGAGCATTCATTGCTCAGATCTCTGAGATTTTGATAAAATCTTTCAATGCATATGATGAAGAACTATACTGTTGATACAATAAATAAAATGTCACTCTCTGCACTCGGTCAACAAGAATCATATTTTTAACATGTGACCAACCTAGATGTTGAAGGCATGCTGACTTGAATATATAAGGGAAATGTTCAGAAGAATAGTAACTGGAATGCCAAAATTATAAGAAAATGAAGAGTAGGATAAAGCATTGACCTGCTGGGTAATTATTTTCAGAAATAACAACTCAAGTCAAGCACGGTGGGCAGTTAAGGCAGGAGGACCACAAGTGTGGGCCCAGCCTGGGAAATTTAGCAATTTAATGAAAGCTTGTCTCAAAATTTTAAAAAACAATAAAGTACTAGGGATGTAGCTCAGCTTTGGATTCAGTAAAAGAAAATTTTAAAGATACCTGAGTATCCATTTTGATAAAACTAAAATTCCTCATTAGGCTAGTTAACTAAGCTCCTCCAAAATGTTACACAGCTAATCCAGTCCTATGAACCCACCAAGATGTATGGTCAGGAAGACTGATTGGACACACCTGATTTATAGTGCGTTACAATTTCAAGCTTTATGGTACAGATTCCAAAGCTTTCTGTAGATACAAATCCTATCATTTAAATAGATTCAGTTTTGCATTTTAGAAGGAAATGTAGTCTGCCTGCAAGCACTCATATACTCAGAAGAAAGGAAATGACCTAGATGAATGATATCTATGGTGGTTAATCCACAATTGCCAATTTGAGTGGGGAATACTCAGCTGAATTGAATCAGCATGGCTCTCCATGTGGAAGACCCACATAAAGAGGTTCATCAGGACAGTATAAAAGGAGAATGGGTAGGTAGGAATTCAGCTAATCTTCCTTGGAAGAGCTTCTTTGTCATTGCTATTCTTCAGAAGAGTTGGTAGTTTTTCTTCAAAGGAGCTTTGGCTGCTTTCTTTCTTCAGAGAGGATTCAGTCTTCGTCCTCGTCTTGGACATCCATCATCTCCCATCTTCCAATGTAGATGCCTCAGCCTTCTGGCTCAGAACCTTCCACCTTTTGGCACTGACAATGCAATTTCCAGCACTGGCCGTTGGGCCTTTCTGGCACAGATCCTTCAGTCTCCTGATGTGGACTTGCATGGGACATCGCCAGGCCCTTGACTAGATCCTTCAGGCCTCCAGAATGCAGGGAGACATCTTCTACTTTCCTACTTCTGACTTTACTAAGCATTGACTAATACAGTATCACAGCCTGCTCCAGCTTTATAACAGATATTATCTTTTCAACCTGTATTACATGTTATCTGAAACAAAATGAAAAATTCTCTAATCCTCAACACAAAACTGTCATCTTAAACTAGAGAATTCAACTCTAAATTGGCTGCATTTCACCAATTGCCAAAAATTTTGAGATATGTAATGATAAAGGATATAGTCTAAGGGCAGTGTAATTTAACCATTTCCTTAGATTAATGTTTCTTAACCTTGACACTAATGACAGTTTTGGTCACATAATTATGGTTGTCCTGTATGTGGGAGATGTTTAGCAATATCCTGTCCTTTACCCACTAGATAACAATAATCATCCCTCACTTAAAGGTAAAAGCCATTTTTTCTCCAGGGACACATTGGCATACGTCCTCCTGTTGAGAACAACTGCTCTGGCCCTTTAACTTTAATTCCTATAGCAGACAATACTAGAAAAAGCACTGAATTTAAAGTCATTAGAACAAGTTATAATCTGTACTCAACCATGTGATCTACATGACTCTTGGACTCATATCTAATATCTCTGAGTCTAGGTTTTCTTATCCATAAAATGCATTTGCTCAAATCTAGTTTACAAAAGGATTCTGAGATATTGTACATGAAGTGCCAGATACATATAAGTGCTCAATAAATGATTATTTAATTATACTTATTCTGTATGGTAAGGCCTTTATTGAATTACAATTAAACATTATATCCATGGACATTTTTAGGCTTGGTAAAAGAAATGTATTTGTTTCTGTCTTAGGAAAACTGATAATCAGATATTGTCCGTCAAACTATTTCTCCAAAAAATCAAAATCAGAAAAAAGTTCTCCTGTAAAGTATGTATCTTTCCTTTATTGAACAATGAGAACTATATGACTTGATGCATGTGTCTAGGGCCAGGGATATAGCTCAGTGGCATAAGTACCTGCCTGGCGAGCACAAGTTCTAGTCCCATACCAAAAATAAATAAATAAAATAAAATAGAAATGAAAGTGGTTGAATAAAAATGTTGATGCATTTATCTTTTTTCTTCATGTTCCAAATGCAACATGGAAAATGTAATATTTAATTGCAACAAGTTACCTCTCTGGATGCCAAGGATCTTTATCTTGCTTTTCCAGTTGGTTTTAGATCTGCCTTTCAAATTTTTTTCTTGTATTGTACATGTAGCTGAAAATGATAATCTACATGCAAAATTCTGAGTTTTTTTTAGGTAGAAAGGATAGAAACTGTAAATCATTAGCTACTAGGATCTAGAGATTAACTATATGAGCATGGGACATTGTGTATTCTTAGAAAAAATAAAATAAAATGTATAACTACTACTCCGTGAACCTTGGGACAGTTAATTCATTTAGAGGTCAGTTTGCTTATATGACAAATTGCCACTTGCTATGATCTTGTAAGGACATATAGTAGTTTAATGAATAGATTTGTGTAAGGTGGTTTAAGACCTAGTGTGCAAACTGTTACAAATTGTAAAACAGCCTGGCAAATGGCTACTCACCTAAAACAAATAACAATTTAATACAGGCATAAAAAATACTGATTAGGCTTGCATATCGCTTAGGAGATGAAACACTTGTAAAACAACTTTTGTGCAACAATGAATTAGAAGTGCCTGTTTGCCATGTTATTGTAAATGCAAATGCTTCTATTAC